GGGACCCGCCGCACTCCACCGGCGCCACACGCGACGCCGCCGGGCAGGGCTTCCCCGCCGGGACTCGCCGCCACCCACCTGACCGCCGGGGACGTTTCGGACGCGCGGCCGGGAGGGAGGAGGAACCGCGACACTTCCAGTCTTTACACTCCGGCACAGGGATTGTAGGGGCTGGGCTTCAGAAGAACACGCCGGGGACTCCTTGGCTTCTCGTCACTATTTGGTTTCCGTTCGTGACACTGAGTATCAGGCCCACGGTCCCAGGAAATAGGTGACAGTCGCGCTCCAGGTCCTTAGCGGTTTCTTTAAAAGAGGATATGACAGGGTGGGTGCACATCCTGCAAATAGGTGATACTGAATTGAGAGCTGTGTCCTAGGAATAATCATGAACTTCTTTTCTGGTGCTGAAACATACTTGACTATTTGAAGAATGGTCATATAATTGCTTGTATAGTTCCTCGATTTGGTCGAATGTCTCCACTGTGGCACACACAAACTTGTGTTACTCTCATTGAATCAGTTTTAGATATTAAACTAGATTTCTCTTGCCATGCATTCTCTGGGTGCTGTTGAAGCAAAAGCAGAGACAGCAACACTTACTTTTTCCGCAACAAAAAAAATCCTCTTCCCCTTCTTTGTACCCCTCCCTTACCCCTGTCCAGTACATCAGTGAAGGCTCAGTTTCTTGGATCACAGAGAAGAGTTTAGATTTTATTTCTCACTACGCATCTCGTCCCCCTCCTCCAACTCACCTTGGTTTTGTTTCTTAAGCTTTTTGCTGTTATCTTGTTTGCTGTTTCTCGTTGCCTAAAAGCACTATTGAGGATGGCAGAATGTGTCTTTTGTGTCATTTGGGGCTGGAAAAGGCCACAAAGCTTCATGGGAACAAAAAGTATCTTTTGTTTAAGGAAGGTGTATTTTTCAGTGGGCAATATTGTAGCTTGAAAACTCAGTCAGTCCATGCAGAAATTGACATACACAGAGCAACAGACTTCCATTGAAGACCTATTTTTAAATGGTTGGCATCCAATGCAGATATGTCATTGGTCTACCTAGTGCAGAGACTTATTGTGAAAGGGTAGGTGTGTTTGCAGGTTGAGAGTTCCTTGTAGAGCAAATGTTTACTTACAGAAAAATATGGACTCATGTTATCTTACAGTCTTTCTGAGGACAAGAGCCTCAGGAGCAGCAGGTCACTCAATGTTGGCACATAGTAGGGGACCCACACGATTGCTGAATGACATCTGATCCATTCTGTCTGATAACTTCTGGCTGGGCTCACTTGTAGCTAATTCATCTGAAAGAGCTGCGCTGTCTTAGGTTTTGGAGAACAAAAGCACAGTCTGTTTGCAGAAAACTGTGTTTCCTGACATCCTTCTTCTCTATACTGATTGTAGGCTGTTCATTAGGTTGGGAAAAAACAAAGCAAATTTCTTAGAGAATGGAGATAGCTTTGTACTTAGAATCTCTGCCTTTGAAAAGATAAACACTAATGTAATAGTTAAAAACTGGAAGTTCATTTTTCCTCTTCCAGAACATTTTTTTCTTCCTTTGCATAATCCCATGACTTGATTTTGAGTTTACACAAAGAGGTGAGCTGCTTTCAGCGATCCATCACAACAGATGTCCTCATGTTGATATCTAGTGAGTTGGTCATTTTCCTTCAGGCCACTGATCCAAGTAAAAGAGATTTAATGGCCTGTGTGGAAAGTGAAAGTTTATGGTTAATGTTCAGGATAATAATAATCTAATATGGCACATATATCACAGGATCCTCCTGACTTTTGAAGGGGTGTCTACTTTGTTTCTTCCTTTGTAGTGATTGCTCTGTCTTCAACCATTCAGACTCTGAATTCTCTGAAAATCTTAGAGTATGTTGAATCCAGAGGTGAAAGTTCTGCATGTTTCTCCTCTTTTCAAACCTAAATGACACATTCTTGAATGCAGCCCATGACCTTCGTCTAAAGTAGCATCCATCAGGGGCTGAATCAATATGTGAACCATCCAATATTGTTATCACTGATGCAACTCACTTCTAGTACACTTCTAAATCTTTTTTTTCAATACTCTGTAATGTCTGACATGATTTTAGAAGCCTACTGTGAATTTGTTTATAAAATAAAATGCTTTTGTAATATAAACAATCCCCTGAAGATTCTGTTCCTTTTATGCTTCAATTGTCATTTATTTTAATGCTGATAACATAGCTAGGAAATATCTGATTATCCAGGATCTTTATTTTACATTAAATGAGGTCAGTGATGTCCTGATTGAGGCTAAACTCATGAATTTGAATGCCTTCTCGTTCTTATGTATTTCTTTCTATAAAGAGAAATTCCAAAGAACTGACTATATTAGGCCTTACCCAGTTGAGCAGCCCTATCTTTTTGTTTTCAGCTCCACTGTTGGGGTATTGACAGTGGAGGCACTGGTGGCCACAACATGCCACTTTATGGCAACATATGGATGGCAATATGGAAGCCCAGCGTGGTTGGCTAAAAATGGAGCAGCGTAAGGTCAGTGATTTTTGGCTGAGTCTATAAAAATCCCAAAACTTGGTGGTTTTTAGCATAGCCTTTATACTACATTTAACTCTGGTTAGGGACCCAAAGGGCCACTGTAGATATTACTTGATTGACAGAGTAAAATATCTGTTGTTTAAAACAAAAAACCAAAGCAACTGGGTGATTTCTCTTAGAATGAAAATTGTAGTGTATACCATTATATTATGTTGTTGACTTGATGACAGAGAACAGATATTATTAAATAATGTAGCATTTCATCTATTTGATGAATTTTCTTGACATAATGCTTGTTTAAGCTCAGTAAGCTGTTCTCGGGAATTATTATAATAAATACTTCTTCCAACTTCACTTTTTTTCAAAAATATGTTTTTCTGTGGCATTCATACATGTGGAATTTCTGCTGAATTTCTGTTTGGAAATAAAAATTCTTTGGGTTATTATTACAAATGGTAACTTTACTGAATTTTCTTCCCAGTGGATTTAGGAGAGAGATGCAGGAAATATTGGTTAGGAATCAGAACTCTCAAGTTCTAGTCAAAACTTAACTACACATTGGGGCAGTCTCCCAATTTATCTCTACTTATTTTCTCATTTGTCTATGACGCATGTGACCTTTGTAATTATTATTATTATTTTTTGAGTCGTAGTCTTACTTTGTTGCCTACTCTGTGCACTGGCACAATCACGGCCACCACAGCCTCCACCTACTGGGCTCAGGTGATCCTTACATCTCAGCCTTCCAAGTAGCTGGAACCACAGGTGTACACTGCCACATCCAGCTAGTTTTTAGAGTTTTTTGATTTATTGTAGAGACAAGATCTCACCAAGTTGCCCTGGCTGATCTTGACCCCTGGGCTCAGGTAGTCCTCTAGCCTTCCCCTCCCAAGTTGCTGGGATTACAGGCATGAGCCACCATGCGGGGCCTGGCCTTTGTAATCTAAATTTGCTGTCACCCTCCCAATTCTTTGATTCCTGTGGGTCCTCTGTATTTGAAGTGTATTCATTAATATCTCATGAAATTTTGAAGCAGGTGGAACATCATATTTTTGGGGGAGACAGAAATAAGTCCTCTAAGTATAAACAGGTTGTCTTTTCATAAAAATATTCTAGTCGGTGTTTTTGCTTTTCATATTTTTCAATTATGTTTTGAGTCAAAAGAGTCATTTAGGCAGTTATATTTGTGCTTCAAAAAGTTGCAGTATTTTGGAATAACCAGTAAAAAAGATTCGACAGAGAAAGGAATTGCTTCCTAGACCTGGCTGGCACCTCTTGTGATGACTGGGGAAGAATGAGAAGCTCATTCCTGCAAGGTCGGCTCCCAAAATGCCAGGCTTTGTGAGGAGTGTCATCCTTCAGGAGTCTGACATCAGTCTGACTTGGCTTATTCAGCCCAATGATGATCTGCTGCCCTCGGACCTTTAAGGAATGGCAATGTCTCATTGTGTCAGAGGGAATGTCTGGCCAGAGAGCTTTTTCTTAAAGTTTGTCTTAGTATCTTTGCCTTGCCTAGCAGCCTTGGGTGAATTTGGGTGAGGTCCTCTAGTACAGTTGGAGGGGGGAGGGGGGTGAAAGGG